AGCTAAATGATAAGTATCAATATATGTCATTCCTTTAGCAGCTTTAAGGTGAACTATTAGATCAAAATGCTGTTGACAATTCAGACTTCTCATTATTAAAACAAACTGATCAGCCACAATATCAGCCTAGAAAAAAAGGAAAGCCCTCTTGCAAAATTAGGAGTCACACTTTCATTCACTTTGATTACAGTTGGCAATCCTTGGCCTAGTACTGTGGGATAATAAACTTTAAGAGGTCACCAGTACCACATACTATAGCAGGAGGAGCTACAGGTGAATAATTCTTCAACTAATATATATCACAAGTCTCATCACTGATGCAAAGAACACAGATACTAGATTTTCTAATTGGTTTTACACTTACTGCATGACCAGTCAGACCACCTGATGTCCCAAATTAACAACTGTAAAATTATATGAATAGAAGACCTTTTTACTAGGAGGTCTAGAAAAACCCTCTCCTTTTTGTCCTGTGCACCTGAAGTCTACGGGGGTAAAAAAAAAATAACGACCTCAATTCCCACAGATCCACAAGTCAAGCAATTGTTCAAACTGTTGCTAGTGTGGCTTGTACTATGAAGAAGTAAGACATTTTGTTAATTCCTACAAATAATATTCACTGGAGTAACTGATGAATCTACTAGCCATTCCTGCACACAGCAAAACGCACAACAGTAATTCAAGCAGTTGCCTGGCAAGGCTCATTATACAGCTATGGTGGTTTCACTGAGAAGTAGCAAAGTGTGATGGAAAACTTCCATGTCCCATAGTGACATTCTGGATATATTAGAAGTAGCAGAAAGACATCTATATACATTAAACAAGGCTTTTCTGTTTGTGTCTCACTCATGGCTCTGTCATTAACTCACTGCATCTCAGACAACTTGCTTTATCTCTATGACCTTTTTCCATACACCTTTCAAGATCATTATGCTTCCCTGTGTACAGTTATAATATGATAGCCTTAATACTTTTTAAGGTACTTTCCTTTGAAAATGAATCCTTAAATGACTTACATAAACTCAGTGTCTGTGCCTTTGCCTCTATTCCAGGCAAGGAGCAGCTTATGTAAGAGCAAAAGCAGCAGACAGGGAGCTGTATCACCATGCACAGCTGCAAAATTGCAGGGTTTGGGCTTCACTGGTTTACCTTTTCCTTTTTTTTTTCTTAAATTACATTTTTTTTTCTTTTTTTTTTTCTGAAAAGCAAAGAAATCTAGAAAGCCAGTGTCATCATCATGGCTGGGCTTCGCGAACGAAGATTTGGGAAGGGCACTATCCATGTTTGTTACAAGCGCGTTGGTGGCTAAAAAGGCCAATACGAGATAGACATGTCCGATTGCAAAAGGTACAGCAGAAAGACTCCTTAGGTGGTATATTCTGCAAGGCACGATTCTTTCTGCGTTGTCTTTTCTCCTCAAGAGTGATCCTGCAGGCGTTCTCAAAAGCATCAGCAACGTTAAAGATAGTGTGTCTCCAGACCTCCCGATTGGAGGCCAGAGTAGACCAGTTATGTTGATCAGTATGGCCAAGGCTGAGATGTTGTTTCAGGGAGTCCTTGTATCTTCTCTTCAGGGCTCCTCTCTTGCGGCAGCTGGTGGCAAGTTCACCATAAAGCAAGATCTTAGGGAGGCGGTGGTCCTTCATCCTGGAGACGTGCCCTGCCCAACGCAGCTGTGTTCTCAGCAACATGGCCTCAATACTTGCTTGTTCTAGAACAGATGTATTGGTCACATAATCTGACCAGTGAATATCCATAAATACAGATAAGAAAATCTGACATAACTTAGGCAAAGACTACGTCTTACTATGCATTGAGGTCTCATGTCTGGCATTACAAAAGTGTACAATACAACTGTACATTTGCAACAAGTCACGCTGCAAACATGAGGATCAACTCTATTTTGTGATTCTGGTTAGAGGATGAAAATCCCCCCACACTTGATGCAACATATCCGCTTCTCCCGCAGATTAATCAGTCTTACGTGGCCAACGGAGCTGGTCCATGTAGAAAGGTGTATATAGAGCAACATGCTTGATGACAGAGCCAGAGCTGCATTTGAAAAATAAAAAAGATAACAGCAGGGAAGAATGAAGTTTAAAAAACTGAGATGGATCACTTACTCCTTGCTTGTTCTGTGAACCTGAACCAGCTTGACATGGTTTTGTCCTAAGGGTCTTAATACTATTTGAGCCAAAGGAGTTTCTACAACTCTGTAATAACCTGCACCACTGCTCAGCTCTCTTGCCATTATACTACATTGTGTTGTGCCCAGGCTAACTTATTATTTATCTCTGAATGAAACAGAGGGCAATAGAACATCATAAGCTTCTACTGATCAGAAGTTCAATACATTTCCCAGTTCCCCTTTCTAAATTAACAACACAAACTCCTACAATTCTTCTGCACCAGTCATAGTTAGATGCTCTATGATTCAGAAGTGAAACAAAGCCATGATGATGCTGGGCAGTTTTTGTCATGCAGCTACTTACATATTCTTCCATGTCATTAAAGATGTCAAAGAAAATTTTGAAGAACCACCTAAAATGGTAACAATGGATCCAGAAAGATCTCTTGAATTAAGTCATGATGGAACAAGGCAGGGAGGAAGAGTGTATTCTTCCTATTTTCCCCATCTATACATTTCTCTTTGGGAAAAAGCAGACAACAGGAACAAAATTTTCTACTCAGATCACTATTAGTTAAATTGACATATGAATTAGAGATATGAATGAGTGACCTACCTACATAAAACATCTCAAAAGTAAGAGTGTATGGATTAGGCTATATAAACAGCACATCTGAATCCAAGTTACATTTTTCTAATCAATAATAATTGTTTACTGTTCAAAACAGCTTGAAATAGTGTTAGATACATCATTCTTCCAATAATGCTTTATTATACTATCACTTTCTAATTGAAATTGTGAAAAGGCTCTATTTAAAAAAGTATAGGTATCTGGAAAGGTATCTGGAAGGAAATCAATACTAAAGAGTTTCATTCTATTCCTGTGAATCTGAAACTCTGAAGGAAAGAAATTTGAATCTACAAATTCATTCTACATTTCAGATTTATTCTTCCACATTTTGAAACAAGAAATGTTGGGGGGGTGGGAAGCTATGTTCTTTTTGTGATTTTCTATTTCTGGTCACTTAGGTATTGCTTGTCAGTTAGGTCTACAGAGTTTCAAAATGGTTTATAATTTCTATCTGTATATGGGTTACAATTTCTATCTGTATTGTTGTTCTTGTATTTTATTCCCCCTGAAAAACAGGTGCATCTTCTGCTCACCATGTCATGTTTTTTTCTCTTGGGAGAGTAGGTGGTTCTCACAAATATAAAAACTGCTAAGCTCTATAAGACAGAAAGAAATTCAGCATTAAAAAAATCCAGTAGCCAAAGTGCAGCAAAATGTAATGCTGCACTCTGCTAAAATAACCTCCTTTCTTCTCCTGACACTTCTATCGAGTACATGACAACGTCTGTACATTTCCCCTCAAGTTACAACAACACTATTTCCTAAACTTGGCTGAACATCTTAGAAAGGAAGGCAACTTTTAACCCCCCAGTATTCATTTCATTAGATTCAAGTCTGATACTAAATTATCAATTTAAAAAAGAACTCAAAATTGGTAGCAGCTAATTTTAATTCCCCTACAACCATTATGGCCTAAAAAGAAGGTTTAGTAACCTGAAACAAACCTACACACAAAAGGATCTCGTGACATAGGAGGATGACTAGTTATGTTGTGTATTCAAAAGTCAAATACAAATAAAATGAAGAAAGACATACTTATTTTTGTACAAGCTGGTATTTCATCTATAAAAGACATCTGTCACTTACATATGGCACAACCCTCAGCATAGCAGGGAGAGCATTATTAAGTGCTGTAGAGCAAATATGAAGCTCAAAGATAGGTCAGAAAGGGACAGGGACTTTAAGGGAACTTCATTTCATCAACACCAATTCTCTGCATAATCTGCAAAATGCAGGCTCCAAAAAGGTTTCCTATAACAGTGCAAAAAAAACAAACAGTGCATCTATCAAAAATTGTTTCACACTGTCTTCATTGGGGGTCAACCAAAGTACTGTAATTATTATCATCTATTTATGTGTTTTCTCCCCATATTCACAGAAGCACTTGATTCCTTCTTGAGAAAAAAATGTTTCAAAAACTGTGGCAGTCAGACCTACAATGGACAAGTGAGCACTAGCACTTCCCCCTTTGCTACAGCGGCAACCAGCAGGTTTGAGACATCCTCAATACTCAACGAAGACCAAATTTTCAGGAGAGCTCAGGTGTCTCACTCAAGCATCATTAAGTCTGTGCATTGGCTAATCGAGTGTAAGAAAAAGAGATAAAAAAGAAATAAAAAAAGAGGCCCTAACTCCCTCTATTCTTTACCATTTTCTTTAGGATTGGCCTCGAAGTCAAAACCTCAGGAAATACTTTTCAACTCTTTGGCTTATATACCACTGTGCCAAGAGATCTTCAAGACCCCTCACTTGTATGTTTTGTTCTCTGCATCACCACTCCCTTCTCATTGTATTCCCACCCATGTGCAGAAATCATTAGCCCTTTGCCTTCCATCACAGCACTTAAATGAGTGAGTCTTCCAGTGGATTCAACACTTAAGGGCTTCCATGGGGGAAAATCAGGTGTTTAGCTTTTCAGTTCCTTTGGAGCTGTGGCCTTCAGCACTTCTTGGTAAGACTTCTAAAGCAAACAAAAGGAAAAAAAAAAAAGAGAGAGAGATTTCTTACTCCCCCACTCTTTTGCTGTCTTGCAGCCCATGGGATCAGAGAGGACGGAGATGCGCAAACGGCAGATGTCTACGACCCAGGACACCCCAAGTGCTGCACAGGCTCAGCTCAGCACAGGAAATCGAGGGTCCAATGCCTGCTGCTTTTGTTGGTGCTGTTGCTGCAGCTGCTCATGGTAACCCCTCTCCTTAAAACCTCTGGGGAACAGAATTGCAGGGAAGGAACACATATCTAGTATATGGGACAACATAAGCCAAACAAAACACCTGTGTAACTCTGCAAATCTGGGACTGGGAGAGATGGCTGTGCACAACCTTCTACTTCAGTCTACTCTCTCTTTGCTCTGCCATTGAAATAACAGATTTTTAAAAAAATAGTTGCACAGTATCTCTGTTGTACTTTTGTTGTCAATACTGTGCAGTGGAAGGTCTGTTTTGTGCAGGACTGGTTCTCCTCAGCATTGAGATTCACCAAGGCTTCCACTAAAAACTGAAAGCAATACCAGAATGTATTTGGGACTCAACAAGCAGCACTAAGGGTGTTAAATGGAGTTAGTAGAAGGTGGAAGAATTTGTAGGTCAGAAAATGAATAACCAGGTGCCCAGCACTGTTCTTTTTCCCCTGAAGGCAACTGGATCTGTTGTCATTAATTAGTTCTGCCAACTCACGGCACCTGCAACTCATTTGAAGATAATCCTTGGGATCAGAGACTTAAACATTGTGGGTACTTGCTGAAGATCAGGAGTTAAGCAGAAATAATTCTGAAGAACTCCCATTACAGGGTGTTAAGGAAAAAAATCTATCAGGTAATCAAAGCAAAAAAGGAGAAGGAATCACTTGATTCCTTAAATTAATGATGTGTTCACTTTCACTTTCTCACCAGCTCCTCTAGATCCAAGTGATTTCATTCAAAACTGCAGTAGATCTTTCCATACTGTATCTGTATCTGTTTAGGGGATGAGACCAGAACTTGCATTTAAATAAAGAAAAAGTCTTAAACAGCCATAGGAGTTCAACCAAAACACTGGCAGCAAGCAGAGTGCATCTTATAAACTCACTATCCACCACTCGACCACTTCAGAACAAGCAAACCTGGCACTGGGGAAAAGGGAAGAAGTCATAAACAGACTTAGAGCCCACACAAGGAATCTATTCCACCAATTTTCCAACAGCACCTCGTGGCAAATGCTTTGGAGAACACCATTAGAAGGCAAGGGAAGAGCAGGCTGATTGTTTCTTTGGTATTGGTACTCAGCTCAGCAGAAGCCAAGACACCCAAAATTCCGCCCTCCCTAATTCAAACAGTGAATATTTTGCAAGGATAAAAGGTTGCTTGGAGAGGTTTTTTGCAAAATGCCCAGTACTCTGGCTTTGATCCTAAAAAGCTTTTCAGCAGGTGCTTAGAGGTAAACTAAGGTAGAATTTAAAGAGCTATTAAGTACTGTGCCTGTGCTGGATCAGAGTTTGCTACCTTGCAGAATGACGTCTATGTTAAAGCATCCCATACAAATTCCAGTGCCATCTCAACAGCTGTCCAGTGCAATTGCAAGTGGCTCAGTCCAGAGCTTCATTACACAAACATGTTTTTCCATAAAAGGAAAAAATAAGACATGTTTATCTAAGTCAGAGTACAAAAAATTTGCATTTTACCTTTTAAATTGTTGATAAAGTGCTTTTTTTTGACATTTTACCTGATATTTTCCAGAATGCTCATTTTCTGTGCATGTCACTATTCAAACAATTCAAAGAAAGCAATTTACTCAATAGGGTGTGTGAAAGTACCCAAATTTCATGATGTTTAAAACTCCTATTTGCGTTTCAGAATCATCTGGGAAACCAATACAGGCTCTGAAACAGAGCAGCTTGTTTTAGCTTTAAAATAATTCCTTTTTTTTTTTTTTTGAGAACAATTGTTTTCTAGTAGCAAGAAATGCAAAACAAACCGTAATTAAGCTATTTATATTCCCTATTCATAGACCCTTTCCTCAAAATAGCCCATGCACTTGGAACAGAAAAATTATGAATAAGAATAAAAATAACAGTCTACATGAGTCATGCAGTTGAGCTGCTGAACATCCAATATTCAGCATACTCTTAATAGTAGATTTAGAATGAAGTTAAATGAGTTTCTCAGCTGGATGCTCAGAGCCTATGTTCATTCCTACAGCCAAAACTCAAGCCTCCAGGCTGTTACTCTTCCAGATCCTGAGAGGATGTAGTGTTGCACTAGTCTCTTTATTGTTTACATTTCTAGGGAAAAAAACCTGCCTGTAAGTAATTTTCTGAGACATGGTGTGTTCTCTTAGGGAAGCTTTTGTTATTTCTTTTGTCTTTTTCCCCTTTTGTGCATTATCCTATGAAGGCCGTAATCCTTTCTATTGGATCTTGGTTCCCCTAAATCCAAAAATAGCTATGACAAGAATATCACTTCTTGTCTGTGTGTGAGGAAGAATACATAATATATCAGTTTATATATTCAAAAAAGGCCAGTAAAAAGGGTAGTAAATGCTTCAGACCTATATAACCCAAAAGAATAGAGAACTAGGTTTACTACTTACTTTTTTCTTTTTTTTCTGGAAAGGTAAATTGAAATAGTTCATTGGTTTGAATGTATGGTTCAGATGTTGCTGAAAAAAACTGTTTGCAATATCTGCTCTCCAATAGGAAACCTTTCCTACCTCTTCAATGCATGGACTGCCCTGGCAAAGAAAAAAGCAGGTCTCTGCAAATTATGGACTAAGAGTAGGCAAAGCAGGAGAAGGAGATACCTAGTAAACAGTAAGGCTGCAAAGAAGATTTAGCCAAGAGTTTAGAAGGCAAAAAGGGCAGAAAAATCAACCGGTTTAACACAAAATCTTATTAGAGATAAATGAGACTCTTACGGATTAAGGTAACAAAACTTAGAACATAAGCATGGATGAAAGGTAAGATACAAATGAAGAAATTAAGTTTAATATTTATCACATTATAACAACTGTGTTGCTTTATTTCACCTGGAGAACCCATTTCATATAAATTACAGATTATAATTCACTGGGACCTTTTCTTCTTGACATATTTTAAGCAGCTTTACAGATTATATGAATGTCTGTGTGCATGCACATGCATTTCTCACTAAGTTATGAAGACCTAGATATACTGGAATGTAGTCTCCATTCCCTAAAAACAAAATTTATTTTCTCAAATCCAGTTTCAAATGAAAAAGAATCATTTACAACTACAAAAGAAATTTTTACAAACTCAAGCCATCTAAGCCAACATTTGATGAAAGCAGCACGATTTGACAGCTATCCTTCCATGGCACATTGCTAGTGATTGCAGCAAACTTTTTTTTTTTTGGTAATGCTACAAACAAGTGCTTCCAGTCAAACATATTCAAAACAATATTCAGCAATGATAGATCCACTCTGTGCTCCAGGCCTCATTCACATTTTGAAGCATATACTAGAACTTTCTTAAAGCTGCAATCAATTACCACACAATCTGGCTATATCTACATCTTAACTCTGAAAGATGCTTACCTTTCCAACATCACATATGGAAGTCTCTAGCTTACTTAAAACTTATATCCAGCTTCTGAACTCTGGCTTTCTTGTAACATGGTATTACCACTCCAAACCAGAGTCTTGGCCCTCATTGTGCCCTATGGATATTAAAAAAAATAGCCAAGGAGGAAAAAAAACCCCTAACTAAACAAATTCAAAAACATCTACCTTGGAATCTAACTCACATAAAACCAGTGCATCAAGTCTAACCTAAGGAAAAACAGTGCATTGAGCATACAGAGTATAATAAGCATCAATGGAGAACAGATTTGATATGTAATAAAGGGTAGGTATGTATACATATATATCCCATACACATATATACTTGTGTATACACATATATAGGGAACTGGACCTGATGATTCTTATGGGTCCCTTACAATTTGAGATATTCTGTGGATCTATGATCCCTCTGTAGAAAGTCTATGTGATACAAAATCAAACAGCATTCAGCTACATTCAAGTTTGCCAGGTTTATACAACTATAAAATTAAGGTCAGAGTTTAACTATGTCTAATGTGGCTGTCATTAGCTTCTGTCCTTTTAGCTTTTTTATTTATTTTTTTTTAATATCTATGTTCAGCCTTTTTCTCTACAAAGTTGTCTAAAATTTTGTTTGCTACCTTGCAGCCTTACTGTTAGAAATCAAGATGAAGAGAGAGCAAGGACAACATCTCACGAACTACAAGCAGAGGGTATTCCAAACTGTGAGGAAAGGTATGGTCTTTATTAAGTGTTCTGTCAAGCTAAAATGAAACAAACCCAATAAACCACACTAAGTCATTTCAGTGAATTACCTGAAACATGAAAATAACTATTATCTACTAGTCATCTGCTTTTTACCTTCAAAGGTCTGATCTATAATATTTTACCTTGTTTATACGCAGCATGTAACCACACGTAACTACTCTCATAACATGACAGATCAAAGCCAACACTGTAAACAGTCTCCCTTTTTTCTGAAATAATTTGAAAATACATCCTGTTCCCACCCAGCAACTATGTAATGAGGTTAACCTTACAAAAATAATAAATATAAAAAGGAGCTCAAGAGCTCCCAAGAGTTAAGCAACAGTCTTCAGAATTGCTCGAACAGGTAAAAGCAACTGCAAAATGGTAATATACAGGTGGGTACCTTTTATAGTGTTTGAATCATTGCTTCTTTATACGGATTTTCATTCAATTTTAAACAATTTTTAACAACAACAAGGATTATTAGGTACAGAAAAAAATGCTTAGCTGTTGCAGGAGTACTTCTTTGTTGCAATTACTTCGAGCAGTAAACTGCAATTTCTGCATCAAAGCACCGGCAATCATCTGCATCAGAGCTTCTGATAAGCACACTTTCAAAAAATACCTTATAAATGTATTTACTAGAGTTTGCACTTGGATAGTTCCAGTGAGGAATCAGAGCCCCAAGAACCTTATGATTTTGTTCCATTGTGATGGCACATACCTCCTCCCAACTACAAAAAGCTTGAGTAACAATCACTTATTTCTCTCTTCTTGTGCTCTTCTTCCTCCTCAAGCCCTGCTCCTACTCTTGAAGAAGTAAATGCCTGGGCTCAGTCATTTGACAAGTTGATGCTTACACCAGCTGGCAGAAATGCTTTTCGTGAATTTCTACGAACAGAATTCAGTGAGGAAAACATGCTTTTCTGGATGGCCTGCGAGGAACTAAAGCAAGAATCCAACAAAAGTGTCATTGAAGAAAAAGCAAGACTAATTTATGAAGATTATATTTCTATCCTTTCTCCAAAAGAGGTATATTACTTTTCCTAATACGTTCTTTGATGTTGCTTTGCACAGAAGTTCTAACTTGTTTAAGGCTACACCAGTACTCAGGGAGAACTTTTTTCACACCCCCCAAGTCCACTTCCATCAAGCAGAGATTTAGGAGAAGGAGGCACTCATCACTGAGGTGAAATGGTCAAAACTACTTTCACTGGTTGTAAGAAAGTGTGTCCTATGCTACCATGGCATGCTGACATGGAATTTTTAGTTTGAGGCACAAATACACAGATGATCGCGTTATCCTTGCTAATCTTAAATTTCATCTGTTGGACAAAGTTTCTTTTCTTGTTGCACTAGGAAGGTGGTGTACACATCTCTCCAAAAGCACATTAACCACAAAGAAAGTGTTATTCGCAAATCGCTCGAAGAGCAGCTGACAAAACATGCCATAGAACAAACACAACAACTTCCCGAAAATTTTTAAAACTACTTGTCACTTCACTGTTAGCAAATATATCAAGCTTAAAAGACACCTCTGTTCAGTTTGAACTGCCAAGCAGGCTGGAATTTTAAACCTTTCAATATCCTTGCAAAACTGCAACTTAATTGTTGCGGTGCAAGCTATACTTACGTACTTATAAAAATACTGTTTAAACCTAATCAGTCTATTCTCGTAATACTAAAGTCTTTCTACAGACACTACAGCCTTGTAGAAAGAAAAAATTACATTACTTGCATGTTGTATGGAATTATCATATAACCATACCTGTGGTTCACATCAATTCACCCTGCTTTTTAACAGGAATTTGATTAAGCAACAGCTTCCCAGGTTACATTTTCCGACTGCGTCATACTGCTTACTCCAAATTCAGTCTCTTTACAACAGCACTAACTCTCCAGGAAATGAACCATCACAAAAAATTACAAATCCTCTCTACCGCAGAGCAGGAAGTTGGTCTGGAAATAACCCACCGGTCTCTAAGACTTCAGTAATAATGGGATTGCAGGCAGCCTTGTTCAAGTAAGGTACCTCAGTGAAGCATTTCTGTATCCATAGTCAAGATATTACTACTTCCAAATTTTAACACGTTCAATTTTGCCTAAGTATATTTATCAGTTTTTACACTCTTGGAAGATATCAGCTGAAATGGTTAAAAAAAGATCACTTTTTCAACCTACAAAAGAAACCTAAAACCCCATCTGTACTATTCACCACTATTATTTACATGACTTTCTATTTTAATACACAGGTCAGCCTGGACTCCAGAGTAAGAGAAGTGATTAACCGAAATATGCTGGAACCCTCACAACACACCTTTGATGACGCACAGCTTCAAATCTATACCTTAATGCACAGAGACTCTTACCCACGGTTTATGAACTCTGCTATTTATAAGGACTTGCTTCGGTCCTTATCTGAAAAACCCGCTGAAGCATAGAATCTATTCTTAAATGTATTTGTTTTAAAACAAATGGAACTCTGGGCTACACAAATCCACAGGGAATTTAGAATTAATCAGATATCCACCTGAAAATAACTCAGGCAAGTTTTACTACAGACTGAATTATTTAAATCCGCACTGACAGGCTCTGTCACAATCAGCTAAATATGGTTTCTGATCAAATTCAGTGTTATTTTCCAAAAGGGAATGAACACAATGAAGAGAAAATGTTGTTCAAAAATGCAGTATTTTTTCAAACACAGCACACAACTCGGAAGCAAAATTGTTACAATGTGTGTCTGAGGTACAAACGCCAACTGAGCATGAAAACTAAAATTAATTTTTAGTGCAGTGTTAGAATTGTCTTGAAAACCAAATCAGTTGCCCCATCCACACTGTGACCCAAGTTAAAAATATTACTGTTGATACTGTGGTACTTACTCCAGGCAATGCCATCATACCTGGCATAGGTACACTCCACTTGTTTTGGTATAAATAATATGTACATGGTGTGCTAATGGAAATCAGCACAGCAATCTCAAGTTTACGAAAGTTGCTGGTTGAAATAATGCTGCCTATATAAAAGAAAAAATCTTTTGCTGAAGAGTTATTATTTTACTACTAAAATCTGCTGAAAGCATTAAGTTCTTATTGTTGATGTTTATAAAGTTAAATTATTTACTTCAGAGGAAGACGTGTCTGGGCATTCCAATTCCAAAATAAAGCACAAGAATTGTCACATATTCTTCCTTTCCCTCAGTAGGTATATGTAAAATCCTTCACTACTCACTCCCAAGAGGATGGCAGTATCAGCCATCTTGGTTTTGTACATATTAAACTCCCCCATTACCTGACAGATCTTGTAAGGTTTCTATTACAGACACACACACAATTTAATTAATAAAAGCAGGAAGCTTGAACTATTGTGTTCTGACACAGCACTATTTCAGACTGTCTGACAGCACCAGCTCTATCCAGTAATAAACCACGTTCATTTACCAGTATCCCCAAAGCATTACACTTGATTTCTCGTCATATCTCTAAACCATTAATCACAGGAAATACCAGGAAGAGAGTAAGTTGAATCCACATAATCTATGTGTACGTCTGTAATTCTAATATCTTCTTTCTTTTAAACTACAAGATTCACTACAATTCCACTATATTAAACTCTGGAGTTTATAGTGGATTTCCATTGAATTGTATTTTTTCCTGCCTATTTATTTAAATGAACCAAATGGCACATATAGTTACGAAATTATACATGGGAAACAGAATGAAAAAAAAAATACCCCTAGAAAAGGAGAACCAGACAGGCATATTTCAATGATGTGTACTGTAGCCTTTCCAAAACCTACTCTTTGCCTAATTCCAGCACTACGGGAAGTACAAAATGGGGACTTTCTCTAAAAAAAGGAAATGGGAATAACACAATAGAACTTGAGAGATCAATTTAATTGTTTCCTCAATACCCTTGGCAGGAGACATATTCTCATCTGCATTATTAAACAAATTAATGACATTTCATTACATAGCACCACAGGAGAAGACCCGATACATGGTAAGTTAACAATACTATGGACCGGTTCAAGGCTAGGTTGGATGGGGCACTGAGCAACCTGGTCTAGTGGGAGGTATCCCTGCCCATGGCAGGGGGTTGGTACTGGGTTAAGTTCCATTACCACCCAAATCAGTCTATTAATCCATGACCAGTTTTCATCATCTCCTTCCAACAATATAACACTATTTAATATGTCAGCACAAAAAAGTAAACAAAAAAAACCCCTAGAGAGAGCAAATCAAAGTGGTTTTGCCCTCTGTAGCACAACGCTGGATGACTAAGCTAAGAGGAAATCCTTCCACATATAGCAACTCAAGACACAATTCAGTTAATGTTTGCCACTGCTTAACCTATCAACACTGGTTATCTCAGCTGAATTTCTATTAAACACACCCAAAGTACTATCAATACAATTTCATTTTACATGAAGTATTACATGATAAGTAGTAACTTCAATAAAACAAACTAGATCTCTTCATAAGGCAGCATTCATGGGGAGCTTACAGTTGAACTGACAATGCTGTACTTCTTTTAATCAGGGCGGGTAAGAGTGCTCTAAAACTCTTAAGCTGACAAATTAAGTTTAACTAGGTCAAATTAAGCTTGTTGGAAAGATCATATGTCTAGATGACAAAAACTTCAAAGCATGTCATCTCATGAAATGGAGGATTTAATGTCTTTTAAGTTATTTCTCTTCCCTGCAAAGATACTTCATTAAAAGCTGAAAGACAGACCAAACACTCACTTCATATCAAACAGTAAATTCTATTATTCTGCAAGAAAAAGAAATAAACAAAAAGCAATGAAATCAGAGGAGAGAGAAACCTATAATAGTTTGGGCAGTTCTATGGTTAAAATTAAATTATTAAAACAAGAAAGTAGTAATTTCTAAGCTTACTTTTCATGTGCCACAACTTCTAAGCAATTAAAATTCTCCAGACAATTTTCATTTTACTTCTGCATTACAATATGTTGACATTTGCAATGTGTTTTTCCTGAAATATCTTAACAAATTTTAATGCTGTGTTTTAGGCTTAAGCTTGCACCTGACACCAGTGGCAGAATGCAGATTCCTAGATATACTGAGAGTATTTCCTAAAAACCCAAACAACCCACTCCCCTAAATATCTTGCTATTTTGAAGCTGGTTAACGCTGGATTTAATTGAAGTAAGTCATGGAGGTGGGAGAAGGAGGGGGAAGAGAAAAACAAAAAACCCATCCACAGAAGACGGGTTTTTAACTACATTTCATGCCTTTATCTTGCTCATGATGCACGAAGTTCTCAGGGCAAAAGTGAGGTGCACTGAAAAGGAGAAGTTACCATAGACAAGCTGTTACATGAATAGCAGGAGAAAATAATCATATTGACATATTATTTATAATTAATCAAGAAATTATCACAAAATCAATTTATCCTATCTTGAAAATGAGCACACTTGGTTTGCCTTGGCATTTATCTAACTGCAGGATGTCATTAAGCTCTAACAACTTTCCAGTCCACTGGCATTCTTCCTTCAATGTCTGCACATCATAAAAGCAGTAACTCCCACAGAACATGCATACTGTTAAAGATTGCTCTTTTTCACTAGCCTGCTAAGCACTATTAAAATTGCATGGGCTTCTTCAGCCAACATATTGTGCTTTACAGTGACCTTTAAATTCCAAAGTCATTAGCACAATATAAACGAAGGAAAAAACCCATATATGTAGGTACTCTGAAGGGCTTTACTATATAAAAGTTTAGATTAAAATTTATCACACAAGCATCATGTACTTATGCAGTTTCTTATTACAAAGCATATCTGAAAAAAAAGAAAGTGATGAGAAAGACTCTCACAATGTGAAGTAAATTTTTAACAACTTTGCTCTAAGCAGTACTTAGGAGCATGTGTGTTCTGCCATAAAAGGTATGAGTATTGTTTCAATGACACTAATGAAAGATTTGCTATACTGATGTTGTAACTAAATTAATCCCAAACCTTTTAAAACAGTAAAACAATTCAAGATTAGTGATGATCTATCGAAACAGAAGTTAATATACAGCTGTAAGAAATTGCACTTAAAGGGTGAAACTCCTCAGGTTGTTTATACGACTGACTATTATTTCAAGATCTATTTCCAAAGGCATGTGCTTGAAAGGTAATATAACCACATTTTGCAGAACAAAGACTTCATGTTTATGATTTTCAGTTTTGCCCAGGCTAGTATGGGTTGCAAGTTTCGATTTAAAATTCACGTATGTGACCACAAAGTGGAATCCTGCACTCTGGACAAAAACTAGGTACTTCCTTCGCAATGCCTGGAAAGTGCAACAGGGCTGCAGCGTGGGATTCACAAAAGCCAAGATCACTGGGCAGATATTGGCCTTCTACTTAGTGGTAGTCAAAAAGAACTATTCAGTACAAGGTATTTTAAAACCCATACTTTCTCCTGAACGAGATAACAGAATATATAAGGAAATGTCTTATATACAAGGAAATGTCTTGTAATGAGGGATACAGAAGTTGTGTTTTCTGAGCAGAATCCTCTAGCCTTGCTTACAGAAGAAAGACTGGAACCACACACGCACTTTAAAAGCAATGTGCCCCCCCCTTTCTCTCTACTAGATTAGTGTAAAAACCAGCTTAAATTATAGGGTAACTGTTTCATCTGAGAGAAATCAAGTGTCGATAAAGATAATAACAAACCTGCTATTCTCAGGTGGGAGAGATTCATCACCAGTTCTGCCAGTATGTTTTCACTGCATAAAATATCTGAATGTACTGGGTCAGTCATGGCACAATTGTAGCTCAGCAGACAAGCCAGCCAGCTGGATAAAAGAGACAGCCCTAATCCCATCTCTGCATCCTTCTCCTATACATCCTTCAGACTTTGCACCCTCTCTGATAGAGGAGGGCAACTTCAGACAGCTGGGAAAACTGCTGAACAGAGGTGCATCCAAAGCTCATTTTTAGAGAGTTTTAATTTTGGATTTAGGTAATCAAAATAAAGCATGAATAGAATACATGTATTGTTGGATTTAGTTCTTAGAATTCATCTTCTGCTGGGCAAAAGAAACTGTTCTTTTTACCTTGGGGACAGAAGAGGGAAGGGTGAAGGCTGCTGCTCAGCCATAAACTAAAATGTGGTTTCATGTAATGTTATTTCAACTCCTACTTGGACACACCTACATCACAGAAAGTGCTACCACAGTTCTAGTTGTTTTGATAAAGTCCAGATATGACTTGGTGAGTACAGAAAGACAATTATTGTATTTTCTCAAAAGATAATTTTCGTAAGTGTCACAATCAGGCATAAAGATTAAAGGACACGTAGTGTGAGGAAGGCTATGCAAACCAGCTTGTGCCTGCCCTGTGGATTTGTGTTGTCAATTCAGGTCTACTTGGCATTCAATTTACAATCATTTTTAACATGATTTTTTGGACTTGTTCCTTTAGAAAGGTCCCCAAACAAAGCACTCTAACTGATAGTAAATGTCTGTCATTAGTTTGTAGTCTTTAACAACTTAAAAAAAAAAGGGCAATTGTGCATCTTTAAGTAACTCTTAGGAAGTATCCTGCCAAAGGACTTACACATAGGCTTAAAAACAAACTGATGCTCTTAGTAGAAAAAAATGTTTTCTGATGGGTATTAATATAAGTTGAGCTAAAATGTTTATATATAAAAAGCTATGCAAGAAACTTTAAATGCTGAGCAATGTTCTGGCTGGAAAAAGGTTTATAACAAAACTTTTTCTATTTTAATCCTTTTTCCCCTCAGCAGAAAAGTCCTGTTTCCTTCCTTGCACAAGTTGACTGGAAAAGCTTGCTCTATAAAGTATTTGCCAAACAGTTCTTATCTGACAAAGCTCAAGTGTCACCATATTATTTCCAACTCATTCCTTACAACTGCCACCGTCACACAAAAAACATTCAACATAGAGAATCTTGTTTTTCCTTTACAGTCATGGAATTTATTCTCCAGTAACCGCAAATACTCTTCCCAACCCCCCATGAATACTTAATACGTTGCCAGAATAGATCTCCTCAAGCCCCAGGCTTCTATAAATCAAGTAATATAAAATTAGTACTTAAAGTCATGTTGTCATGTCTTTCCTTGAAAACACATTTGAAAATACTTCTAAGCATGTGCACTGTTGAAAACCAAACTCTAAAAAAGCAGTATTTATACCATTCCACATATGGAAAAGACCGTAACTTCAGTAATTTATTTCCACCTGCAGGTCTATGATTGACATCAGATACTGTATAATTCAAAATTCAGTTCAAGAACAAAATCAATGTCATTTATATGAAGGGAATATAGTATTACCTCCCCAGCCAGTTTATAACGTAATGAACTGGTTAGCTGGTGTTATCAGGGCAGCCCACAACACAATGCCTCTGCTCATTTACAAAGTCTAAACCCAATTTGGTCGTCGAGCACATTAAGCAAGACTGAATACTCAAACCAGATTTAACTATTTTAAGGCATTCCAGGAAATAAAACCTACTGATAGAATGTAAAATACATGCTTTGGGCAATAAAATATATTGCACCGATCGAAGCTGGTTATATAAACAAGCTTAACCAACCA